TTTTAGTAATCCCATTATGTGTAATTATTATTTCCAGACATCTAAGAAAAGTCTATAGAAAAACGTATTTTGCAAAATGAGTATGTATACAGCCATAAACACATATATCTGTACAGGATCTCTTTTCTGTTAGAGTTTTTTCTTAAAAAAAAATTTTTTTTCCAGAGCTAGGGATTGAACCCAGGGCCTCATGTGTGCTAGGTAACCAAGCTACCCTCCTAGTCCTTTTTCTTTAATTTTTAAATTATTTTACAATATGTAGAAATCTAGAGTTATTCCTCATTCATTGCTGTTTTGGAAATTTCTGCAATTTGTTGGCAATTGGAATACAATAGAAGCATATATTTTCTGTATGTATATCTGGGAATTCTAATAATTGGATGTTGGGCTTTCTGAATTGATTGTCTGGTTTTATTGTCTTTTCTAAAACGTTCATCACTTCTAGATTTTTAAAAACAATTCTTGAAGTAAATACTTGAATTTTCAAGAGAGCTCTTTCATGTCTGACTTGTCTTTTACTTGTGGTTTTGTTGTTGTATTTTAGCATTCTGTCCTAGTTTTATGGATGTTTTATCTTCTGCTTCCTCACTTCTGTTTCCTTTAAGTTCCTCCTGGTTGTGGTGGTAGTGGTTTGGGTTGAACATGATTTCTTTGTTTCAGTTTGGAGCCTTCGTCTGGTATCTGGTGCCTCTTGTCATCCTGTCATCCTGACAGTCATCCTGTGAGGAAGGCACTCAGATCTGACTGGAGCTCCTTCTGTCTGTGTGACACTGTCATGCTGCTGATCGCGCAGTAGGTAGTTGGGTGACTTTGTGCTAGAGAACCCATATGTGCTTTAGAGGGTCTTCTGAGCTAGGAATCCCCTTGGGGAGGATTCCCTCCTTTCTGGAGGCTAGGAGTGCAGAGAGAAGGGAGCCAGGGATTCCACAACCAGTGATCCCTCTCCAGCGCCTCCTATGGAGAACAGGGCTATGGGGTGGGAAGCAAGGAGAGAAAGCTGGTTTGAGGAAGGAAAGGCCTGGCGCTCTCTGCTTCACACGCAGACAGCTCCCAGGCTTTTGGTCCTGCCACCTTCCTCCAACCTTTGAGGTGAATGGTTTCTTGGAATTTGAAGTCTTTTGAGAGCTGAGAAAGTTGAGTCTCATTGGCATGGTGTTATAGTTCCCTTTGCTGTCTTTGCTAAGTTATTCACCACCCCCTCAATTTTCTTTCCATCTCCCCAAACATATGTTAACATCTCACATCTGCCATCTTCTCTTTTATTCTCTTTGTTTTTGTCCATTTATACCTTTTCTCCTCCTGTCCTACTCCTTTTTTTCCCAATAAAGGAAGTATGGTAATGACAATATTAAATTCTATTCATTTAACCAGAAGTTCCTAATTATCCTGTGATTTGAAAAATAACTGGGTAGAATCAAGTGTGTTAATTTCCCTGTATAGCCAAAGTAAAGCAACTTTATTGGACAGCAACTATGTAAGGGTACAACACATTGTATATTTTATTGTTTTATTTTTATTTTTTTCCCCGCATTGTATATTTTAAATTCTTTTTTTTTTTTTCCGGTACATGCTTGTAGGGAAAATGTAAATCATACAAAAGAGTAAATAGTGAAAAGTATACCTTTCTTTTTTTCCATTTGCTACCAACACTTACCCTCCCCTAAGGTAATAGATATGTCAGTTTCTTCCTTCTTACACTTCTGATATTTCATTGTACATACTCACCTGACCTCTTAATAAAATGTCTTGGGTAATGTAGCACATTCTTTATCATGAGTGCATAGTAATCCATCATGTGTGTGTGTTTGTGAGTGTGTGTGTGTGTGTGTGTGCTATTTAGCTAGTTCCTTATTGATAGTCATTTAAACTTTTAGTTAAAGAAATGTGGCAGTAAATATGTCTATCTTTATGTCAGAAGTACATATATTTGTGCATATGTGTCTGCAAGATAAAACCTAGATGTAGAGTTGCTGAGGCCAAGTGCACATATTCTCAGATGGTGGAATTTGGATTAAATTTTCACCTGTACATGAAAGTAGGGCCTGGGATTATAACAGCTGGTAAAGGGTGGCCAGGATTAAACATGTGAGTTGAAATGAGTTTTCTGAGATAATTCAGTGTTAAGATAATGTTATTAGTTTACAGATAAAGATATTTACCTCTACTAAATCATACCTACATGTCATAGTGGATAAACTGGTTAGTTGGTTCTTTCCTCTAATAAACTTTTATCCAAGAAGTACCAGGCATTGTGCAGTACTCTGAGAGACAGAAGAATGAAAGTACAGTTTCCTGCCCCCCGTCGTTTGTGTGGTTGGGATACATGTGAGTGAGTGACAAGGACAGCATAGTATGAGGCACTCTGAAGGGACTCAGAGCCAAGAAGCTCTCACAGACTGGTGGGTCATGAGGTGGTTGAGCACTGAATCTGTCTATAGTCCTTGCTCTCTTTTGCACAGGTTCGTTTCTGTCAGAATTTCCATTAATGTTTCCCCTTCCAGTCTCTCATAAGCTGCGTTATCCCTTTCTGCCAGAAATCTGAGGTCCTCTAGTGTCACTCAACCCTGGAGCCTGCGAGGGTTTCAGAGTATCTGTGCACCCTTTAAAACTGGATTTCAGTTGTGTGGCTGTGCTCTTTCTCAGGGATAAGATTGTAAGTTTTGTTACAATATCCATGGACTCAGTGACTCTAGAGCAATTATTAGTGACTCAGACTTCTTCAGTCCAGTTAAGGATCTTTTATGTTAAAACAGTATTTTTTAATTGATTTTATTGCTACATTTTAGGGATACAGTACAGTTACATTCATTATTGGGATCTTGTACCTTTACATGACAGGTCTTGGTTCTCATTTTTTCCCCTTGTTCCTGCCCTCCCTTCACCCCCTCCTCTCTCCCCATTTACAAACACTTTATTTCCATTTTTTCATTTTCTCCTATTTTTTTCTTTTCTCTTATTACCTTTCCCCTACCCTTCCCACTTTCCCTATATCTTTAGCCCTTTTCTTCCTATTTCTCATTGTCAGTTATCTCATTAGGATCTTATGTACTATTATAGTTTTTCACACCAGAGAAATTATTCGATATTTACACATGTGTGACTTATGTATTTCACTTAGGAGCATATCCTCAATATGTATCCATTTTCCTATGAATGAATCTAATTTATTGTTCTTTATAGCTGAGTAGCATTCCATTTTATAGATAAACGACATCTTTATCCAGTTTCCAACTGATGGGCAAATGGGCTGTTTCCAAGTTTTAGCTATTACAAACTGTGCCACTATAAACATAGGTGTGCATCTATCACTGTGATATGATCCTTGTAATTCTTTTGGAAAGATACCCAGCAGAGGGATGGCTGGGTCAAATGGAACCTCTAGTCCCAGCTCTTTGAGGTATCTCTGTATTCATTTCCATAGTGGTTGCACTAGTCTGCACTCCCACCAACAATGGAGAAGGGTTCCTTTCTCCCCACAACCCCACCAACATTTGTTATTGTGTGATTTCTTGATAGCAGCCATTCTTTGTGGGGTGAGGTGGAATCTCAGTGTTGTTTTCATCTGCGTTTCTCAAATGACCATTGATGTGGAACATTTTTTCATATATTTACTTGCTGCTTTTACTTCTTTGTCTGAAAAATGTCTGTTCATTTCAGATGCCCATTTCTGAATCAGGCCTTTATATTTGGGGGTGCTGTAAAACAGTATTTTAAACATCCTAATCAGACTGATCTCAGGAGAGATGTGTTCATTTACTACTACCTGGCCCCCATTTAAGCTGTCTTTCTTTCCAGCTTCTTCCTGTATCCAGAAATAGGAACAATCCTGAGTATCATCCTCCTCTTAACTTTCCTTAGTTATGTTTATTTGGCAACGCCATACTTAGCCATGGTAATAATATAGGCAAACCTTTTTTGTGTGTGTGTGCCAGGGATTGAACTCAAGACTTTGCATGCACTTGCAAGGCAGGCATGGTGCCACTGAGCTAAATATCCGGCTCTAGACATACCTGTTCTTAACTCTAATGATGTGATATCATCAAGGAGAGTTGGAAATCCACATTTCCAAGAAAAATTTTCAAGTTTTCAACCATTTTGGACTTAAAATGCTCCATCCCCCAAATCAAGTCAACTCACATTTAGTGAAAAACTTTATACATGCGGGACATCACAGTCCATGCTGAAGGAGAGAGAAGGGGAGCCAGATGTGCAGATGAATTAAACCCAGTTTCCACCTTCACGGAGTCAAGATGTTTAAGGAAATGCAAAAAGTGCTAGGGGGAGGTGCAGCAGCAGATTATTTCTACTAGACAGTGTAGGGGAGACTTTCTAGCTGGGCTGGGCACTATTTCTTTCTTTCTTTTTCTTTTTTTGGTACCAGGGATAGAACTCAGGACCTTGCACTTTTGAGGCAGGCACAGTGCCACTGAGCTAAATCCCCAGTATTTCTTATAACGAAGGATGCTGTTCCCATCCTCAAACTAAAGAGCTGGGCCTATAAGTTGACACCTGATCAGATATCTTGATCAGCCCAAGTGAAAAATTAGCCTTTGTCATGCAATAACAAGGAAGAATCAAAGCAGTTAGTATAGAAAAAATTGTACAAGAATGTTAAGGCATTAAGAAGGTATAACTATTTGCATAAATATAAGAATTTTTGAAAATTGATAGAGAATATTGGTATCATTGCTATATATTTTTTAAAAATCTGGTTTTGAAGCAACCCAACCCAATTTACATATTTTCCTATACTTCAGGAAATGGAAAACTGTTTCACTGGAAAGATTTATAGACCTAAGGGCTTTCTTAAAATGTTGATTGAGGAATGAGTTTATGTACATTTTTGTTCTTTCTAAAAAATCAAGCATCTACCACTGATAGGAGTTATAAATTTATACAATGCATTTAGATACGTATTTACAAAAAAGTTTCACAACCACCCTAAATCCTGTGCACATGAATTAGCATGGACTAATCCTTTTCTTACTCTTTGTTCTTAGGAGGACCCAGAACCTATCAAATTTTTGAGACAGCTCAGTTCTTAGAGGAAGGCTCATCTAAATAAAGGCCAGCAAGTGACATTGTGGGGATTTGGTCTTTCTCTGGCTGCCTATGTGACCAAAGGCTGATTTGGTTACAAAGATTTTTCTTTCCTGGGATCCAGATTTATTACATCTCCTGGTTCCCTTGCCTTGACAGCAAGTGAAACACAAAATGAAGACTGTCCAAGATAACACCTGATGCAGGGACTTGAGGACCTCCAAGAAGCCTTTACACATCAGTGTGCAAGATTCCCTGGCCACCAACTGAAGTAGCAAGCTGGAGCCTTTATCCTGGGACCAGCCATCTGCCACAGAGCATTGGGCCAGAAAGTTCCTGTAGTTCCATCAGGGAGTCCTATGGTAACTGGATGTGTGTCTAAAGGCACAGGCAGAGCCTAGAAGTTCAAGGTGAAGGAAGGTGGGAAGGTCATCCAGTGTTAGGCTGGGCTGGACAACCTCTGCTGCCTCTCAGCAAGACAGGGAAGGAAGCAGCCTGGCAGGGAGTTTTTGGCCAGCCAGCAGCACCTCTGCGGCAGACTCTGGGCTCTGGCAACACCTCAGCTCTTGTCTCTCTCTCACCCTTGGGCCTCTACTTCTTCTACAACCAACTCCGATTGGTGGCTCTGGCTGAGATGGAGATGTGAGCCTCCGTGGACAATGACGGCCATTTGTGTGAATGGCAGCGGCCTGGTGAACCCCCACTATGCCAGGTGGGATCGGCGTGACAGCGTGGAAAGCAACTGTCAGACGGAGTGCAGCAAAGAGGGCGAGGAGGGACAGTCCCACCAGCTGACGCCCTTTGAGAAGCTGACCCAGGACATGTCCCAGGATGAGAAGGTGGTGAGAGAGATCACAATGGGCAAACGAATCGGGTTCTACCGGATCCGAGGAGAAATCGGAAGTGGAAACTTTTCCCAAGTCAAGCTCGGGATTCACTCTCTAACCAAAGGTAGGATCTCACTTTCCGAGAACCATCAACTGCTGAGGTATTGGGACCTAACTGGGGACAGGTTAGGAGCCTGGCCAAGGAAGCAAATAAAGTAACATCAGCAGAACCCTGGTGCCAGCTACTTTGCTGATCATCTCAGTTACTGTCCACAGAAACATTCTGAACTCAGTATTTTTATTTCCATTTTACAGGCAGGGATACTAAGATCCAAAGAAACAAAAGCGTGGCTTCTGCCATTCAGTCTTAGATGTTTATCACAACTCCCAGTGCACTCTACAAACTGGTGAAGCAGCCTCTCCAGTTAGGCCTCAGGAAAGCGGAGTGGGGTGTGTTCTGGTTCTGAAGCCGCATATGTCCCAAGTCCACATTCTTAGCTTAATTTCATCTATGTGTATCAAGAACAGTGGTGCAGGGCCAAGGATTTAGCTCAATGGTGCTGCGCCTGCCTTGAAAGAGCACGGGCCTTGGGCTGGGGATTTAGCTCAGTGGTTCCGGCAGCTGCTTCACAAGTGGAAGGACCCGCGTTTGATCCCCAGTAACAAAACAAAACAAAACGAAAGAGCACGGCCCAGATGTCACTGTCTGGATAGCCCTCTAACCAGAGGCTGCTGCCTCTGTTATAACTGGGGAAAGGGGCTGATTCTCAGAAATCTTTCTGCCTGATTCTGCCCTGTACTTGTTCTCATCTTGCTGGATTCCTCACTCCACCTTGCTTGGCTACTGGTCTCTCTGGAATTTTGAACTAGCAGAGCCCACCAGGTTGGTCTCAAGCAAGGACTACATGGACAGCCCAGCACCCCTTTACTGTCCAAACCCCATGAGTATTCTTCCCCAAGGGCCCTCTAACTTAGCTTAAATCTGCCAATTATCATAAAGGGGTTATAAGAAAGAGGAAATAAAAAACCATACAAATCAGCATAATTCATCCAGTGTTAGAAGCCCGTGAGTTCTACCCGCTTCCAAGAGTCCTCTCACATTTTTTTTCCTGGAACCCAGCCCACTGCCATGTCCCAACACCCCCTTTCTTGTATTACAGTTGTCTTTTATTTATACACACACATATACCCCATGTCCCCAACACACACGCTAACACATAAACTCACAAGTCATGGCAGCCTGAGTCCCTTTCCATCTTGCTCAAGTAATGGTTCACATCTCTGTATCTTGACTACTTTATTTACTTATCTGGGTCAATTACAGTACTTCTGAGTCCCAGATTCATCATTCATAGAATGCAGCCAATAAAAATATTTACCTCATACGGTATCAGAAAGATTGTATTTTATTTAATTTATTGATTTTTGGTACCAGCGATTGAACTCAGGACTTTGAGCTTGAGAGGCAGGCAGTGGAACCACTAAACTAAATCTCTGGCCCTGTCAAAAAGATTTTAAAGAATAAGTGTTTGATAAATGTTAGCTGTTGGTGTTATTTTGCAGAGTTACTTAAACCTGCATTGCCTTTGTACAGAAAAGATCAATTGCAGTCTCTTTGCCAACAGATATTCATTCCTGCACACCACTATTCCATTTTCTACTTCTTTGAGGTCAACTTTCTACCTCCCACGAATAAGTGAGAATGTATGCTATTCACTTTTCTGTTCTGGGCTTATTTAATTCAATATAGTGCCTTTCATTTCCATCCATGTTGTTACAAATGACTGATTCAGTGCCATTTAAGGATGTTTTATGCACTAAAATTGTTTTGTGGCCTATGAGTATTAAGGTTCCACTTTGGGATACCCTACCTTCATTTAGTCCTCCCATGTCTTATGAATGAGGAAACAGAAGCCTCGAAGTGGTTGTCCCAAAGTCACAGCAGACGCAGGTTTGGACGTGGCTTTCTTCTTACTTCACCTGTCTATGTCAAAGTTTGGCACAATATGGAGGAGGCAACTCTCTCACTATGTAGTTAAGGCTAGCCTTGAACTCACTACGTAGCCTACAATGGCCTTGAATTTGCAACAATCCTCCTGCCTCAGCCTCCTAAGTGTTGGGATTACGGGTGTGCACTACCTTGTTCTGTCCACACCTTAAATATTTTTACATTTATGCCACAGTCTAGGGACAAAACCTTTAATAGACAGACCTTTGGGGAATGTTTCATATCCAAACTCTTAACAGTAACCAGGGTTCACAGAAGCAGCTTGAGCTATTCTTTTTTTTTTTTCTTTCTTTTTTTTGGGGGGAGGGGTGGCTACCAGGGATTGAACTCAGGTCCTTGTTCTTCTGAGGCAGGCGGCAGAATCACTGAGCTAAATCCCTGGCCCAATTTGAGCTATTCTTGCAGGCAACTTCCTACATAAAGCTGTCCTCCCTGGTCAAACAATGTCTAGGAAAGATTATAAAATAAGGTAAATATTTCACCTATATAGAATTGTTCAGAAGGGTAAACAAAATAGAAATATCTACATGTGAATAGTGAATATCTACATGTGCCTAGGGCAGAGAACATAGTAAGTATTCTCCTTTTGAGGAAGTCTGGGTTCTTTAGGCCTGAGTCATGCATCATTTGGTTCATGAAGCAGAAGCTTACACCAGCTGGGGATTTAGCTCAGTGGTGCTGTCACCTGCCTTACAAGCACAAGGTCCTGAGTTGGATCACCAGTACCAAAAAAAAAGAGAATGTACAGAAGCTTACTCCAATTAGCTCATGTGAAAAGGGTCCATTGAGCACAAGGTGGTCCCACAGCAGGAATGTAAGGTCAGGTCTCAAGATGTTATGTTCTCTACCTTGTTTGCTTTTTCTGAGGCTTCATAGTTTTGGATTTCTTCTTCCTGTGATAACTCTTCCACCTTTCTACTTCTTTGTTCAGAGTGGCTTCATATACTTGTTTTATTTAAGAATACATCATGGCCAAGAATGGTTGTACCCAGTCTCCTGTCTACATAACCCCTTGGCTTTATGGCCCCTTGCCTTTCTATTAGTTTTATTGTGTTTCAGCTTAGATTTTCAAGACAGAATTTGTTCATCAATGGTCAGCAATGACGGGCTCTGTTTTTCATCAAAGCAGCTATTGCCCTGTAAGTCACACTCTTGCTACTCTGAGCAGGGCCTAGGACCCGGGGAGTGACTCTGAGAAAGGAGTGTGGAGAAGGTAGCAAATTGATGAGTGTAGCCACTGCAGAGAGCATAACCAGCTAAGCTGTGAAATTCCTACAGACTCGAAAAAGAGTGTGTCCATTCTGTAGAAAAGCTGTTATTCAAGAAGAACAGGGAGAAAAAGGTACAGTAATAACAGTAATAACACCATAATTATATGGTGACATGAGTTCCGAAGTTTCTTGTGTGTTATAAAACTGTCTTCGTACTAGCCCTCCTGAATTTTAGAGCACATGGCATTTCCCTGCTGTTAGATGGGTGCCTTGAATATGTTCTCCTTGGTCCTGACTTGTCAATTAGTAGCCCAGATGGCAAGGTACAGGGTCACCCCTGCTCATGGGATAGTGTGTACAAACAGGGTAGGAAAGTAGATAGTGGTTCACACAAATGTGGCCCCGATACAAAATTTACTTGTCCAGAATCACCAGCAGGATTTCTAGGAAACAAGAACAGTCCAGATGAAACAATGGAGGTGATTCCCAGGAAGCAGAGCATTTCAGTGTGAGGGCAGTTCCCAGGATGGTAGTAAAATAAATAAGTAAAAATAAAAGGCACCAGATGCTCTGGTCTCTGGAAAGAAGGCTTCAACACGGACCTGGCTAGAATTTATTTTTGTAGATAACAGCTTAGTTCCCTTGGGCCCTGCAAACTGACAGGACAAGCTGAGAGCAATCATGAACCCCCTTTAAGCTGATCAGAAATTTCTTAAAAAGGATGATGCACTTGCCTTCTGAATACTTTATGTCCCATCTGTTGTCACCAACAATAGAGGAAACAAGTGCCTGTGCTTTTCTCCACTGCTGCCCTTCCTAACATCTTCTTTCTTCTTACACTAGTCTTATTTTTCTAGAATACTTTTTTCGCTTTCATTTTATTTATTGTGTTCATTTATTGCTTTTAAAAAACAACCACACGTAATAACCATCATCCCTGGATGATATGGAATGAGATAGGTATACTTCTTTTTTGTTTGTTTGTTTGTTTTTGAGACAGGGTCTCACTATGTAGTTGAGACTGACCTGGAACTCACTGTGTAGCCCAGGCTGGTCTTGAACTCATAGTGATCCTCCTGCTTCAGCCTCCCGAGTGCTGGGTTTACAGCCGTGCACCACCACGCCCAGTTTGAGTCAGGTGTACTTCTTGCCACAGTTTCATGGAGATGGGGAGGAAATAATTGATAAGAGCTGTCACAGAGTAAGCCACCAAGGCTTGCTCACCTGTGCTGAGAGGAATCCAGAAAGGACCTGTTGAGCAGAAAAGCTTTGCACTAGGTCTTGCGGCTTGAGGAGACATTTCACAGGACATGGGGGAAAGAGAATTCCTGGAAGAGAGAATTTAAAGTTAATGAAGGTATGAACCAGTGTGGGAGGTGTTTATAAATTTAAAAGTAAATTGGGATAAGGATGTAGCTCGGTGGTAGAGCATTTGCCAAGCATATGTGAGATCCTGGGTTCTTAGTATCACAAAACAAAAACAAAAACAAAAAAGTAGTTCCCAGAGCTGGAGTATGAGCTCCCAGAATGGTAGAATAACATAGGTGATGGAGGCAAGTGCTTAATCACAGAGAATATTTTGCATATTTGAATTTTGTCACTTAGGTATTAGGGAGACATTTAAAAAGCTTTAACAAGTGATTAATACTTAACTGATTAATATGATTTGATTTCAGCGAGGAAGGTGAATTAGAATTGGGGAGTGATGAAAGTCAAGGAAGCCAGAAGAAAATATTAGTGTAGTGGTCCAGATGAATGGTCTTATCTATCACAGCTAGGGCAGTGACAGTGAGGATGGAGAGAAGGGGATGCATTTGAAAAATGGTTTAAGATATTGGAAAACCTTGTGACCAACTGGATGGGCAAGAGCAGGAAAAGCCAAAGAGAAGGAACATTTGCAGATAA